CCCCCCCCCCCAGGCGCGCCGGAGGGGCAGGCCGACGATAATCGCAGGTGATATCCCCTTCCCCCGCTTGCGGGCGCATCTGCTGGACTCGATTGCCCGCGGCCGCTCGGGCGCCGGTTGCTATTCCGCCATCCGAATCAGGGGCCCGGAGTTGAGGTGACCAAGGGTGGTTAAGCGTCTGCAAGCTGGGGCTACTAGAGCACGGCCACGAGTGCGTCGTCGCGCTCTCCAGGGCAGCAGGGGGGTGCACCTGTCAGGTTGGCTGATGAAGGCCGCCGCAGCCGCAGCAACAGCAACAGAGAATTCCGGGCATGGGCCGGGCGGGGGCCGTGCCTCGCGGACCTGCTCCCCAGGCCCGCAAACGGTCGCCGGACTCCCGGAGGCATGCAACCTCGCGGGTGGTGCCGGGGGTGCGAGCCGGCCCGCGTTCCTGCTCGCGGAGACAGTTTCCACCCAAGGGGCAACAGAACAATGTCATTCTCGCCTCCCCCCCCCTCCCCCGCCGTGCTCGGCCCTGGACCAGTGGATGGGATCAGCGGGACCGCGGATCTCACTGACGCTGAGATCAACCAACAACCATTGCTCGGAAAATGACCCCCGCGCGCCCCGGCCAGGCACCGCTGCCCGATGCTTGGCAGCGACCGTGGCAACGGCAGCACAGGCGGAGGGCAGAGAAGGGGGGGGGGATGGGTGGCCTCCTCGTCCACTGGCCAGCCCGGCCATTTCAGGCACCAGCGTTGCCTTCTCCCGGTCGGGCGCCGGGTTCTACACACCCACGAAGCGCGCCACTCGAAGTGTCCGCCTCGCCCCTTTTCTTCCCCCCCCCTCCCTCCCCCTTCCTGCCGCTGTACGATCCCCCTCGATTCCTCCTCCCTCTCCCCCCCTCTCCCTCACTCCCTCCTTCCCTCTCTCGCTGGCGCCCATGTTGACACCCAAGCATAGTCCCAAGCAGCAGCAACTACAACAACAATCATGGCCACCAACTTCTTCGCCACCATGGACAAGACCTGGATCGATGTCGCCAGCGCGATTGACGCCCACCCCAACGGCGAGATCCCCACTGAGATCTTCATCGCCGCGGCTCGTGAGCTGTCCAACATCTTCGGTATGTTCTCCCCTCCTCACCCCACCCGCTATCCTCCTAGCCCGCGGTGCATGAAGAGTCAATCGGCTGCTAACTCCCCCCCCCCCCTCTCGCCCACACATGCACCTGCCTACGCCCTATCCTCCCTGGCGTCGCTGCCGTCACCTATGTATGGTCATCAATGCAATCCAGACATTCTCAACTCGATGGCCTTCTCGCCGGTCAAGAAGGACATGGTCCAGAACATTGACGTGCGTGCAAGGCTCTTGTTCTCTCTCTCTCTCTCTCTTTCTCTCTCTTGCTGTCGGTCGCCAGAGCGAGCCTGTGCTGATGCACTCCCGCCCCCCTCCCCCCTCCCTGTTTGCGCCCTTGCACACGATCGCAGCTCGTGGAGCAGCGCTTCCTCTCCGCTGGCCCCGAGTCTCAGACCCTCAACCAGCTGATCGCCAACGAGCGCAAGCTGAGCACCTTCATGCAGAAGGGCAAGAGCCCGAGCCGTGCCCTTCTCTGGTACAAGCGGTGCGTCATTCCGGCCTCCCTCTTGCGTGCTGCCCCCCCCCCTCTCTTTCTCTCTCGCCCCCCCCCCACCCCCATGGCGTGCTGACATCCCCACACAACATCCCCTTCCTCTTCTCCTCTCTTCGGCCCGTATGTAATGCTGCTGCTTTGACAGTGGTATGGAGTTCCTGGCCCAGGCTTTCCTGCGCTGCCTTGAGAACCCCACCGAGGAGCTGGCTGTCTCCTTCAGCAAGTCCTACGAGACCACCCTTCAGCAGCACCACGGCTTCCTGGTCCGCAATGTGTTCAGCGTGCGTTTTTCGGCTTCCCATTCCCCCTCGCTTTGCCTTTCCTCCCTGTCCTTCTCCCTGGCTGGGCCCTTTACTCACATACATCCCCACATGGTATGCCTCACACTTGTGCGTATGCCCCTTCGTAGCTTGCCGTGAAGGCCGCCCCCTACCGCGAGGACTTCCTCAAGTCCCTGGCCAAGGAGGATGATCGTGAGCAGCTCCTGGCCACCATGACCCCCTACATTCATGCCTATGTCAAGGTCTGCAAGGTGCGTCTCTCCCCCGCGCGGGTCAAAAAACCCCTGCTGGAACTTGTCCCCCATCCTCCTGCCCAGAACTACCGCCACTGCCCTCCGTGCTCCGGCTTTGCTTTCCCTTGAGCTATTTGTGTCTGATGCGTCTCTCTCCTCGCTGCGCCGTCCATGCTTGCACGATGTTGCCCGCGCCACTGGACGTTCTCCCCGGCCTCCCTGGATATAGGTCCTCGTCAAGCTTTACGACGATGAGGACCTCGAGCGCCCGCTGTAAGCAGATCGTCTTGATTTCACATGGCTTGGTGCTGGGTGGCCCTCCCTCGATAGCACACTCACACACACACACACACACGCAGAGGAGGCGAGAGACTATGTCCTTTGCCACCCTCTCTTCATCTCATGTGCATTGTGAAGTGCAGCGAGGCCGAGCGCCTTCCCGAGCGGTGTGCCGAAATGCCGCATATCCTTGCATGTACTCCGCGCGACCTCCCTTCTTCGCCGCCAGGGGAAGGGAAAAGAAGTCCAGCCGTGCTTCCTCGTGCTGCATTTTTAGATGTGAATATGTCCTGTTTCTCCCTCTCCCTTTTGGAGGGGTCTCGGAGGGAGAAAAAGGAGCTGTTTGTGTCTCCTCCATGCGGAGAAAAACGGAAAAAATCAAAAAATACAAAATGTCGAAGAAAGGGGACCATTGTTTGTCCGACGCGACTGCGCACGCATGTGGGTAGCAGGGACGGGGGGGGGGGGGGGCATGCAGGGCCTGCCCGGCTCCGCTTGTTGCCAGCAAAAGCGGGTGGGCTGGCGGGGGAGGGATGCGGGAGGACCGCGATGCCTCTGGTGTCCGGAGCCTGAGCCTCGCACCCGGAGATTGGAGAAATGTCCGGAGGGAGAAGGGCCCCGAGCAAAATATGGGCGTGCACAAAATCCGGAGCATGGGTAGCTCCCGAGCGCGCCATTTAGCGGGGTCCCAGGAAGATCTTAATCGTATTGCGGGCGCGCGGGGGTGGAGAATTCGGATAAGCTTGGGGGAGCGGTGATGTGTCTCCCCACCCGGGTGGACGTCCCTTCTCCCGGCTGGGGTGCTGAGGGAGGAAGAGAAGCCCACGAAACAGGAGCCCAGGCGCCGACGTGCTGGGGAGGCCGGAGATTTGCGGGACTCGGGCCTGGCAAGCATTTTAGTCAGGCCGAGGGGGGGCGGGGGGGGGGGGGTTGGGAGACTCAGGGCCCCGGTGGGCGGCCCGGACTATGTGGCGCATGCTCGCCCATTGGTCCGTTCATTTGACTAGGGGACTGATCGCGACCGATGTTGTGGTAGCTAATGCTCCACACTTGTCTCGCCCGGCGCCCGGCTCCTGAAGCTATTCTCCCGCCGACAGAGCCCCTGGCTGTGGGGCCGGAAGAGGGGGCAATATGACCCGGCAGAGGGGGCGGGCGGGGCCGGGAGGCGGGTACCATCGGGCTGGCAGTGGGGCCGGGGGGGGGGGGGGGGGGGGAAGAAAGGACCCCGGTGGGGATCCCTTTTCGCCTGTGGATGCCCAGGAGCGAGCCCGAGCGGCCTTCTTTTGACCCCTCCCGCCCAGGCTAGCGCCCGCCAATAGCCATCCCGCCCCGTCTCCCTTCTGCCTCTTTCCCCAGCCCTTTTTTTCCTCTCCTCCCCCTCCTCAGGCACCCACGTACCTTTTCACCCCTCTCCATCCTCGCTTTTCTCCTCCTCCTCCCCCCCCCCCGTCCCTCCTTCTCTTTCTCTCGGTCTTCCCCGCCCTGTCTAATCTCTGGCCATTCGCCAACACAGACCCCCCTTTTCCCTCTCCCCCTATAACCGTCATGAAGCTTTGGATCTGCCCTTTCAACAGCGACAAGTTCCAGGTCGAGGTCGATGGTACGATCGCCAAACCGCATCCTCCCACTTGCCTCTCTTGGAGGGCGGTGTGCACCGCTGGCCCACCACGCAGCTCATTTACCGGCCTCCGTCTCCCCCTCCATCGCGGCCTGCCACAGATGCCGCTACCACCATGGACCTAAAGGAGGCCATTGCCAAGGTGGAGAACTCCTCCGCCGAGACCCAGCGTCTTATCTTCGCTGGCAGCGTCCTGAAGGACAGTGAGCAGCTCAGCTCCTACAACATCGTTGTTCGTGCCGCCCCTCCCCCCCCCCCTCCCCTCTTTGTTGAAAGGCTCCGACGCTCTGTTCTGACGCTGCTTTCCCCGATGGCCTGTAGGATGGCGTGTCCATTCATTATGTTCGTGGGCGGGCCCCCCGCGCTGCGGCTGCCGCCGCTCCGGCCGCCGCCCCGGCTCGGCCGGCGACTACTCCGGCCCCGGCTCCGGCGGCCGCCCCTCGCCCGGCTTCGGCTGCCACCCCCTCGGCTGCCAGCGTGCCGACCAACATCTCGGCTGGGTTCGACCCGTCGCGCTCGGTCATCGGCGCCGGCGAGTTCTCCCTGGCCAATGCCGACCTTGGGTCCATTCTGAGCGCCATTCCTGGCGGCCTGTCGTCTCTGATCGGGGACGGTGAGGAGGGCTCCTCCGGTCTGCCCGACTTCGAGGCGGTCAACCAGCTCCTTAGCCAGAACCCTGCCCTGCGCGAGCAGATGAGCCAGATGATGTCGGACCCGGCCATGATGGAATCCCTCATGAACAACCCCATGTTCCGGGTCCGTGCCCTGCCGCGGGTATGCCCCTCACCTGGAAGCCCCTCGCCACTTCGCTGACGTCTTCCCGCCCCCCCCCCCCCCCCCCCTCCCCCCCCCCCCCCTCGTGGGGTCCTCCCCCGCCCTCTATGCCCTGCCGTCTTGGCGCATCCCCATGCAGGACATGCTGCCTCCCGGCTCGCGCAATCTGATGTCCAATCCTGCCATGATCCGCCTGGCCATGGACCCGGAGTTCGTGCAGCTCCAGGCTCAGATGCAGGCTGTCATGCAGCGCCACGGGGTGGACCTTAGTTCCATGATGGGCGGTGGCGGTGGCATGTTCGGCGCCGCCGGTGCCTCGGGAGCCGGCTCCCCCTCCGCCAGCCAGGAGGGCACCAACCGGCCGGCGGCCGGCCCCGGCGCCATGCCCTCGCTGGCTCATCTGGAGCAGCTCCTGTCGGCCTTCGGTGGGGCTGCGGGTGCCGGTGCTGGCGCGGCTGGTGGCTCTCCCTTCAACTTCGGCGGTGCTGCGGCGGCCGCCCAGGCCCCGGCCGAGCCCCCTGAGTCTCGCTTCCAGGTCCAGCTGTCTATGCTCCAAGTAAGTACATGCCTCGCGTGCCAGGCAGCAATCTAGGAAACTCCGCCTCCCTCACCCCCCACGCACATGCAATGTCTGACCCCCCCCCCCCCCCCGATGGTCATCCACCTCCCTGGCTATGATGCGTCCTCCGTGCCGCTCCCATGTGGCTGGCTTTGCCTCGCGCCTCGACCTGGGCCCCCTCGTGCACAGGACATGGGCTTCCATGACTCGGCCGCCAACATCCGCGCCCTGCTTTCCTCCGGGGGTCGTGTTGATGCCGCGGTCGAGTACCTTCTGCGCTCGCCTCCGGACTTCTCCTCCGGCGGCGGAAGTGGCGGCCCTGGCTCCCCCGGGTCGAACTAGTGTGGGCACACATGTCCCCATGGCGTGCAGTGTCTCCCATGGTCAAAGTATGCCGCTGGTGGAGGCGCGTGTGGCGAGAGCACGGGGCCATCCTTTTCTCCCTCCCGACACTGTCAAGGCCCGCCTTCTTCCTCGACACTCCCCCCCCCCCTCCGCACTCTGCCCATTCCCGCACACTGCGCGTGGACCGGGGGGGGCGACACGTCAGCTACCCAAGGCAGGGATGCAGGTATTGCGCAGCTCCAGCGCCGAATCGCGCATTGAATGCCATCGGCCGGGTGTACCCACACACGCGGATATGCGCATCCACATCTGCACGCGCGACTTTTCCTGCTGCCCTTCCCGCACCGGCGCATGGCCGTGTAATATTCAAACACTCAAACAAATAAAAAAACACCTTCCTCGCTCCGATCAAGACACGGTGTATCCCGGTGACCAGAGGGTACAGGGCGGGAGCCATTCCAGCGAGAGGGGAGAGCGGGGGGGGGGGGGGGGCAAAGCAAGGCCAAAATCGCGACGCAGGGCGCCGTCCAGATGGACGAAAGGAGTGGGTGCTGTTCGGATAGCCGAAGGAGAATATACAGAATCTATGATCATGTGCTCGGATCTGGGGGTTATTACCTACGCCGCATGTGATGGCAAATGTCGGCAGTGGCCATGCTCCCTCAACCCGAGTCAAGAAAGAGAAGGAGGCGGGGCGGCAAGAGCGAGCGAAACAGTGCCGGAGTCCCGGCGTCTGCGCTTTTGTTCACCCAGCCTCGCAGGAAAGCTTGGCCATTGCATGGCCTGGACAGGTGTGCTTCCCTTCGGGGGACACACCCGTCGGGAGGGCTATCTCACCGGCCCGGACTGGGAACCGAGTCCCCCCTCCCTCCCCAGCTCTTGGGGTGTATTTTCAAGCTTTGGGGGTAGGGAGCTGACTGGTTTGCAATGGTGGGGGGGGGGGGGGCCAAGATGACGGACGAGCCGCGCCTGGGCGCGCATGTGGCGCGCATAATGCCCCGCGTGAATGTTCCCGCCGTCGCGGAAAATTACATTTCCACGGAGATCCCGCACGCTGTCCGCAACCTGCAAGCCTGCTCCTCCTGAGTGCTTCACATTTTAGGAGGCGGCGCTCGACCAGTGCCGCAGGACGAGACCCCTCCTCTCGGCCTCCCTCCCCCCCCCCCCTCCCCCACCGTGAGCAGTTGATTTCCTCCATCTCTCTGCCCTGTCTCCCCTCCCCTGTCGAAAGATGACCTCCTTCGCCGCCAGCAACTACACCGGCCTCAAGCATATCCATGCGCTGGTTGCCGAGCAGCTTGCCGAGATTTTCGCCACCAAGGGCGCCGAGCTGACTCCGGCG